GAGCAGCTGTCCTGCCAAAGAGGGAGAAGTGCTGTAAGATGATCAGGTACTAGACAAGGGCTTGTCCCGATGTGCTGTTAGTGAAATAATATCAAAGCACTCTCTACTTTTTTTTAAGGGTGGGTCACTGCTGCTACTTCTCCCTCATTCCTACAGGCAAGTGAATGTAATGGTAGAAGATTGTGTATGCAGACCTGTCACATCTTTTTAACAGTATTTGTGCATGTCAAGTACCGTAGCCCTGTTTGCTGCCTGCAAACTTCTCCAACACAACAGTGATTATATTGAAGTAGTTTAAGAAGGATTATCTTATAAGAGAGTAGCATATGTTTCTCCCATGTCTCAAGTGCCCTCTGCCTTGCCTTGAAGCAGGCTTGCAGCAGGGCACACTCTTGACAACGGACTGGCCCTGCCCACAACCCCCTTCACACATTGCAAAAGGAGAAATAACAGCACAGATGCTTGGCATTTCAGGAATCTGCATTTAGGAAGTAAGTTATGCTGAAAAAGTAAGGTATGCTGAAAATTACCTAGAAATGGGAGCTAAAATAATCTTCTATCACAAGAGAATTCCCCCATATGGGGCTGACAGAACATGCTAAGGAATGAATCAGAGAAAGCCAGGTTTGGGTGGATTTTTGTATAATTTTAACATAACAGTCTTCAAGAGAGCTCAGCTGAGGGCTGGGTCCAGTGCCACAGACCTGCAGACACAGATCCTGCATGACTGGTTCAAGGACTTCGGCTGTAGCTGGAAGGGAAGAAAGGATCAGCCCTACATTTTGTTTCCTGTTAATATATTCAGGATGTATTAAAACTGTCTCCTCTTCTTCTGGCCTTAGTGGTATTAAACAGGACAGATATCTACTAGGGGTATTATATTGTGTTTTCCTACATGACCAACAAAGGTTCTTATTAGCAGATGGATGCTGCATAGCAAACAAGGAATCCCCCCAGCCTGCTGAAGCCCACTCAAAGCTATCAGCACTGAGTTCACAACAAGCACAGGGTAAAACTGAGCAGCTCTGAGGCACCTCCCTTCAAACAGTGCTGGACATCCCCATATAGGACAAAGTGAATTTGCATTATCCATGGCAAGCAACCATTCTAGAGCCTGCTGCACTGAAATATGTTTTATATCCTACTCCACAGTGTGTAAAAAGAAAAATGGGAGAAGAGGAAAGTTAGATCTAAAGAATAATCCCACAGACAGCTGTTTTATACACTGAAACATACTTGTGAAGGAATTAGTACATTGCCCGCATGCATTCCTGAAGGCCAGATCAGCTTTCAGTGAGAAGATAATTTAGAAATGAACAGACATTTTCTACTATTTATAAGACTTTCCTCTTAATGATTCATCTGCTTTGCAGATGCTGTGAGAGCAGTACCACACAGTTGTAAGGTGTAGGGTAGACAGGATTTACTCATGCTATCCTGTTCTTTAACTACAAAATGCAGTAGCTCTCAGATAAGAGGTGTTGGTCTTGGACTTGGAAAGCAGAGTTATGAGCAGCATATGTGTATGAGTTAGGAGAAGCAGAAAAGCACAAAAATGTTGATATGAGACTGAAAACTTAAAATGCAAAGAACCCAGAGGATATCTACTCTACAGTGACTTAAGACTGTTCTTTGAGGTATATGAAATTTAATTTGTACCTGTCTTTATCAATAATATGTTCTCAATGGTTATAGGGGCCCTGAGCCTCAGGTTTGACATGATGCTCAGGGTCCAGCAGCTTAGCTACACAGCAAGTCTGTGAGTTACATGGATCATGGTTTACCTGTCTCCACTCAGCTCAATGTCCACACCTTAAAATGAAGCACTAGAGATAAATTGTTCATTTGAGTTTATTCAGATATAACAAGAGCAAAATAACAGGATTCCCTGAGGAAAATTACCCTCTACCCTGGGGAAAAAAAAGTAACATAAGTGATAAATGTTGGCCAAAACTTTTGAATTTCATTCCTCTCTGAGTTCAGCACAGACCCTCTTTCTATTAAAAGCCTTTTATACTCTACAGAAAATCTGATGTTGTCTAGGAAATCCTTCACACTAGTGTAAGTGCCAGGGCCAGATCCCATCCATTCTCCTCTCTCTGGGTGTTACTGTGCCTCACCATAGCTTCTGGACAACCCTGTTTTTATTAATGGAACTGGCTGCAGATCCAGATCTTACTGAATCAGACAATGCTCTGATGAGGCAGGTGAAACTCCAGAGCCTTTTGACCTCTCCAGATCTGGGTGTGATCTCCCAAAAATAGACAGATCAGACCGTTTAGAATGACCTCTACAGCTTGCTCAAGCTACATGGGTTTTCTACTGAACACACTCACTGATAACATTAACATTTTATAATATTTCTCTGGATATTTCAAGTTGGTTTAAAAATTACAATTCTTGCAACAACTTTACTTCTTCATCCTCATCACTGTCAGTAACATTGACTATGTGGATGGTGGAGGGAGGTGAGGCAACTGCTAAAAACTCCTCCAACACTTGAACATCCAGCTGTGGCAGGGGGCTTACATATTGCCCCTCGCTGCAGCCGCTGTGGCAGGGCACTCCTTCGGGGCTCTCCCCACTGCGCTGCTGCTCACTTCGTCTTTCTTCTGGGTGTTCCTTGAAAGGACAGCCTCTGTCCAGAGGTGAAACCATCACCTCCTGTCTTTGGTATCTGTCTTCATAAAAGCCAAAGTATTCAGGCACTGAGCTGGTGAAATTCCCACAGCCAAACAGAGATCGGCTGAATGGGCACATGCTGCAATGAGAGAGAAAGAAAAACAGAATTACACTAATGTTCAGTGTTGGTCAGCTTATCCTGTCAAGATATTCAAAACTTATATTTTTAAAACCATGCCTAATTTAAACACTGAGGCCATAACAACAGCCACGCACAGATTCCATACCTGTGCATACGAACCTCTTCATGCTAGATACACACATGATGCTGCTTTGAAAACCAGCAAAAAGACCCATAGTATTTATCAATAAAATAATAACTTCGATAAACAGCATCTGATAACCTTGAAGTATGTTAACTGGCATACTCAGAGTAGTAAAATAAAGCATCAAAAGTCAGTTTGTGCAATTTCTGTATGCCAAAATTTGTGAAAGAGCCAATACATTGTTCTTAAACAGGAGGACTGACAGAGAACCCTTGTGCCCACTATGTGGTTGTCCAAGTTACTGTGTAAATAAATGGTGATAAATTCTTGAAAGCAAACACATAGTAGACAGCCAGAAGCTATGTCAGGAGTAACTGTATTCCTCCCGTGTCAGAAATCCAAACTTTTATTCTGATGCAGAATAACACACATTGTAATTTACACAGTGTTATAGAAATTTACTACATTGTTAAGAAAACAAAGTATGTGAAGAAGTAATAGAGCTGTACAGTGCAGACATTATAAAGACTTTGATACAATGTCTATTGAGGTTTCATGGAGACTGTTCAACTTTCCAGTCTAACATTTAAATTTTTAGTGCATCAACCTGCATACATACATTTGCACTGTCAGTGCTACTCAGAAATTATGATTCTTGTATGCAAGAAATGAGATTATGGGAATGTGAACTTACAAATCATCGTATTAGAAAGATCCTGGCATTAGCAAAGCTCCTTCAGAAGTCACTTAATGTGTGAACCCAGAACAGTCTTTTATGGTACAAGAATACTCCTTTCCCTCAGAGGCCTCACAAAACTGCCTAATTTCAGAGACCAAGGGCTAAGCAATGTTCATTTTTAACAATTTGGGAAATATGTGTCCTGTGTTTCTTTAAAGGACATAAAAATTAGGAATATCTTGTATTGTGCTTATCAGATCATAAAGTTCTTTTGAATCTGATGGGTCATCATCAGCCCTAATTTATGACCAGGTAGTCTTATTGCTGTAGGAACATATTAGTTGTTGCTATCAATAGCATGAGCAGTGTATAAATGGGCAGAATTTAAGTTTAATGATCATAATAATTTGTAATTTTTGATATTGCACAGTCATACAAAGAGGCCATCATCAGCAGGCCATCAGACAACTTACATTTGAGCAGCACACCAGCTTCTGGAAGGGCACTGGTGCTTTCTGTGCATGCTTAGCTTAGGAAATACCCACAGGATATATTACATATGTTAGCTTCTAAATTCTTTGATTAAGTGACCTCTGATTGACTGCCCAGAGACTGCAAAGGAAAAACTAGGAATTTCTACTTACACAGTAATTCTGAAGACATTACCCACCAGGCTGATCTCAGAAATACTGGTAGTTACAACAATTAGAATCATAGTACCCAGGAGACGTCTCACACACCTACTTTAATTCTAATAATTTTCAAAATATATTTACACTATCTTCAACACTTTCCTGTAGGAATCAGCTGCACTTAGATGCATGAAGTGGAGAGCAAATACTTCTATTTACTGTTGGCTTGAGAGTGCCCAGTACTGCAGTAGTATCATGGAGCCCTCAATAACTGGGCACATGTTACTAGCAGCCTCAGGCAAGCAGGTCCCATCACACAGGAGCTATAGGAAGGTAAGAGCACCTCTCATTCTGAATGCTCCACCTGCTTTCTGTAAGTCAAAAGACTCTCTGCTTTTCAGCATTTGTTCTTACTGCTGTTGAAATGGGGGGTTTCATTACCTTGAAGGGAAATAGTGAAGTCCAGGTACAAAGTAAGGGTGGTGCAATGAAAAGTGAGGAGGTATTGCAAACAGACTGGCTGGCTGTCCAATGGGAGGAGATCCATAGAGAGGTGGGTGAAGAAAAGGTGTAGCTTGGGGAAGAAGTACACCTCTAGGAAGAACAGGGAACCCTGGGTACTCCTGGGGCTCACTATTACAGACAGAAAATCTGCCATCAGTGGTGGTTATGTTACTTGGGTTTCTGCTGAATCTCTCAACAAAAACCGGTGTAGATCTCCTCAGAGATAAATTTGGCCCAGATGATACATCATGAGCTTCTGTCTGAGCAGGTTCAGCAAAGCACTGTGGTGAAATTACAGGGCGCAGGGGCAGGGTTGGAGCTGGAACAGTCACTGATGTGGTGCTTGTGCTGGTAGTCTGGAAAACAGTAACTGGACCAGCATGTTGAATGGGAGAAGCTGGCAGACGGATGGCAGAAGGAGACCCACCTTTAGGAAACAGAACAAATATTTATCAGACATGAATAGAGGAAGAGAATTCATAAACAGCAGCATAACAAACTACAGCCAGACCCAGAATCATTTCCCAGAACATACGCTGTAGTGTTACTTCCCTACAAATCACAGTCATACACCACTTGGCTTATGTGTTTCTGACAGATGGGTTTGGAGCCCACACATTCAAGCTTCTTGTACAGAAACCTAAGGGTGAAAGAAGAAGGAATTGGCTAGTGAGTGTTGAGGTTGTGAGGCTGGTGAGGGCTGAGTTTTGTCCTTGTATGGCTACAGAATGGGGTTGGAGTGTGCATTTAGCATCTGAAGTTCAGAAGACCTCCCAAGTCTACTAGCTGAGTCAGAGTGAGCCAAATACTTAACGAACCTGTGTGGTGATAAAAGTAGCACCGAGGACCAGACCCAACAGTTACAACACCCTACTCTCCAAAATGTTTTCTTATTTGTTTCACCAATGAACATAACTGCTAGCCCTTTTCTGCAAACATCTGAAATATTTTCCAGAACATACACTTGAACATACACTTTCAAATCACACGTGATGTCAACAGGGCTGTCTTTACACAGAAAGATTTCAAAACACACTGTGTAAATATTTTCAAACCCCACTATCTAGTCTAAGAGTCCCAATTCTGAGTCAACAGGACCCTAATGCATCTAGATTTTTACAGTTGTATTTAAGAATCGTTTCAACCACAACAGGATAGTAAACTCTGGAATGAAACAGTAGCATCTGAGGACAACATAATATTATGAAATATACTAGGATAAGAGAACAGAATATTCAGTCAAATTTACAGAAGGATTTGAGAAAGGGTTGCATTACTAACTCAGAACTTCACCAGAACAAAGCTGACTGTCCTCTTTTACCTCTGAATATTACCAAACAGCACAAACAGGCATTTCGTTTTCATGCCTCCCTATGAAGACAGCAGCCCTTGGTGGTATGTTCAGAGAGAAAAATGCCATTGCCTGGATCTGAGGTATGTGTTGTTGAAATCCACTGTCCACGGGCTGACAGAGCCAGAGCTCTTCTGCTACAGAACACCCATGTCAGCTGTGGCACCTGGCTGTGGGCTCTCATCCTACACCCTGTTTCACTGCTCATATTGATTGCTTATAAAAAGGAGGATCCTTCAGGTGCCACTGCTTAACGCATTCCCTCTGTAACTATATTTTAGTTTGTATAAAAGCTGCACTGTGTGTGCTCAAAGTGTGGGCTTGTGCAAGTTCCTAACAACTCCATGCAGAACTATTCCAGGTGTACATAGATACCTAAGGAACTCTTCATGGAAAATGTGCAAATTAAAAATTTCTAGTTTTACTGACTGCTTTAATATTGCAGCACACACCTTACTAACTTCCTTTTTGACAACCTTGTTGACAATTCTGTCTGTTGTCTCTTGCAAGCAGTTGAAGTTGCTGAGCATTTGCTCCAGGTGTGGTGCCCTGACTGCCAAAGGACACCAACATCAGCATGGAGGTGCCATGGGCTAAACTAACGAGCTTTTTTAGGCTTAGCAGGGCAGTGTTGAGGTGAGAGAAGAGAACAAGAAAATGAAACAGCTGTAGCTTAACAGGAAGCAAGTGTTGAGTAATAGAGATCCAAAAAGACCAAGAGGTAGCAGGAGGTAACCAGGAGGTACAAAGACAATAGCAGGGATCTGTGGGCAATGCAGACACCAGAAAAATGTAAGAGGCTGAGCAAGCAGCAGGTAGAGCCTAGGAGGCAGAGGTGCAGTGTGGATGAGAACGGATAGAAACAGTGGTGTCAAGGAAGACTGAGAAATAGTTTTAACTACCTCTACCATAAGTATAACTTCTACTAACATAGATAAATTCTGAATTTTAAAAATTGTTCACTACTAAAAACTCACAGACTGGACGTCCAATACTGTTCTTAGGACTGGAGATGACAACAGAGTGAGCAGGTGACTTGAAGGGACAAATGCCATCTGGATTCGTAGTGGTGGTGCTCTGAGAAGTGCTGGAAAATGCACCAGAGCCAGGCAGTGGAAAACGCTTCCTTTTGCCTTGGGGTTGATAAACCCAACCTGTCAGAGATGAAAAAAGATGCAGACACACAGTTTTGAGGAAGGTCTCATTCTGTATGTACAACTATGATATCTGTAATTCTGTGGTGACTAAAAAAAAAAGAGTCCAAAACCTGCTCCTATAGTCAATGGCAATACTCCATTTGTCTCAGTGAGCTAGCAAATGGAGCATTTAGCCAGAGGTGGAAATAAAATGGACATATTTGGGCATTGTTTTTATGTTACTAAATCGTAACTGTGAGACAAGAAAATACAGAACAGTGGGTGGGGAGTGATGTGGAAAGCATGTTAAGGAGAATATGACACAGTGCCGTAGGCTTTCTGTTCACAAGAACACCATGACTGTATTCAAAATGTGGATCTTTCTTGACTGTTTCCTTAACCCCTTAATTCTCACATATAATTAATAATATTGTAGGTTACATGACATAATGGAAAATATAACCCACTAATAATCCTGTATAGATTTTTGAGGAATATGTTTCCCTTTGACTTCCAACGTGAACCAAACACTAAGAGATGTATAAATATACTATGAATTTACACTGAGCAGCTTGCTTTCTTACACAGGCTAACTCTTAAAGCCACTTTAAAGAAACCATTTTTTTTTTTAAGGGTGCAAGGACAGAGGGAGAGTGCTGCTCTTATCTTTTGCTTGTTTATGAGAGATTAGTTGATCTTGCCTGCAAGGATTAGCCATAGCCATGAACTAGCAGGGGTATGACAACAGATGGAGAAAAGATCATGACCCCTGTTGTCTCAATAGCTTTTAGAAAAGAGTGTTCAAGGTACGTATGTTGTGTTTTATTGAACTGCAGTGTTATGGAGAAATGAATTTGTTAAGGGCACAAATTTTTAACCCTTTTGACAAAAGGCTGAGAAACACCTTCCATACTGTTGTTTGGGAATCCCACATCTAAAAGTTGAAGAGTCTCACAGAATACAATGCTGCCTGTGCTTCCTGTGGCAGTTCCCTTTCCCACTCTTAAGAAATAGATGAGTGTGTCACCACAGGCCACCTGGGCAGCTCTTTCTGGAGCACGTAAAATGATGCAGCAGGCCACATTCACAATAAATTCACTATCTGGCCATTAGACTACTAAAGCATTCAGAAGAGCTGCTGGAATTGTGGTGGTCTGAGACCATAAGAAACATTAGAGGCTATGAAACATCATTTCAGATGCTTAAAACAATTAAATGCTTTCAGGCTCTAGAAAGCTGACAGAAGGACTGCGTGCCTGAAATTTTTATAAACTTTTCCTAACTCTATTACTCTATCAAATGAAAGAGATCCATTTTTCAAAGAATCTTGCACTTCTAAAGCATCCAGGTAAATAAATACATGTTTACCAGGAAATTCCTCTCTGTGCTTTAGTTTTATTTTCTGAGCTTCAGCAAAATAGGGTTGCTTCTGCTCTTCAGTCAGCTTGCTCCACTCCAGCCCAAGCTGAACACTGATGTCTGAATTACTGGCGTTTGGGTTAGCTTTTGCAAGGGCAGGGCGATGAATCCTAGCCCACACCATGAACGCGTTCATCGGGCGCTTCACGTGGCCACTTTTGTCCTTGCTAAATGGAGTATCTGGCATACCTATGGCAACAAACCAGGAAAGATGATCATCTTCCAGGCAGTATATGCAATAAAGGTTACATTCAATAGTACATCAAGAGGATATTTGGCAACAGTCAGAAGAGTCACTAGAGCTTTGGAACACATGGAACTCGATGCGCAGTTGGAGAGTGGTTCCTAGAGAAATCACTGATGCTAAGGGGGTGTCCTCCACTCACCTTCAGTGAACCAACGTGCAGGGAGTCACACACCTGGCTTTGGCACATATTATTTAAAAAACAAAGAAAGAAACATATGGGTTTGCTAACACACTGGTTTAGGTTTCATTTGACTGGATTGTTTTCTTATTAATTTATAAACCTACACATTTATAAACTAAATATTGTATAGGATCGACCATTGCACATTTGTCATCACCACCAGAATGATGTATTCAAAGCCCCAATGAAGCAGGGACCAGATCTAATGATGGATGGCAGTTTACTCCAACACCCGTGCAGTCCCTGGCTTCTAAGCTGAGGCTGTTCTGGGTTTCTGGTTGTGTTATTGTTTGGGGTTTTTTTCTTCTCTTTTCTCAGATTTGGACAGTCATTTTCATAGAGGAATCTGTGTTACCAAATGACTGTAACATGACCCCAAGCTTTGGGACTTTGTAAACACAGACTGCATTTAAATTGAGTTGGTGACATGACAAATCCCCAGGCCCTTCACAACTGATCCCTGAGCAAGCAATTTCCCCTGGAAAAGAAAAGGCTTAGAAATCAATGGTTTCGCATTTTCAATAAAGGGCAAGTCTCCTAGTCTGTAAGACCTCACTTCTAGGTATCTTGGGGGGAAAAAAGCTTCTAATCCAGATGTTTCAAAATGTTCCTCATTTAGCCTGTCCTAATTTTCTCAGTGCATGAACGTTTCTTAACTGTAAAACTCAAGCAAATCAAGTTAATTTTGCGAACACAACTCCGTGTAATTCTGAACACTGTTATAAGGGGTTTAAGGTAGCTGAGGAGCAAGTGGACAAAACTGCATTGATTTTAGCAAACCACTACAGAACTCTGCTCCTGCATGTTTATGTCTCATGCAGAAGAGAGCTACAGAACCTCCAGTCTATCCAAAGGGCTGGTTCTCTAGCATGACCTTTCTATTTGTGTTCTATCTAATAAGCTGCCAACTGTGTGCCACTCACTGAACCCTGGCAAGCTCTCTTAACAAGAATACCTGAGTCAGAGGGCGGTATGGTGAAGGGCACGTTTTTAGTTTCAATCTTTACTGAAGGCTCTGGTACAGACTGCGCTGTAAGCGGCACTTGTTTCACTGGCACTTGAGTCACATGGATCAGCTCTGGTGGCAGAGGGCCATGGACCTGTATGCAGGTGCCGGGAGGTAAGGGCTGAAGCAGAAACGGGATCTTCCGACCGGCCCTTCCGATCTTCAGGGAGGATCCCAAGCCCCTCGCCCTGCTGCATCCTGCGGTCATCGGTGCTGGCAAGAGCGGGCCCATACTGGGAGCCAGCCGGGGCATCCTCCTTTTCCGTCTTCACCCAGGTGGCCTCAAAGGCCACGTCGGGCGGCTCCACTTTGACAGCGCCTCCAGCCCGGGGCTCCTTCCCAGTCCCGTCCTCCCTCTTCTCCAGCACCTTCACCGCCTCCTTGCTCGCTCCGGCGCTCCCTTCGGGGGCCGCTTCCCTCTTGACGGCTCCGCCCGGAACCGGGGCGCACCCGAGGC